TGAATAGCTTGTTAAGCAAAATGTCGCTAACAGGCTCAGAAAAATAGTACAATATTTCCGCTGTCCCTGAAAAATGCACCGCTGGGATAGGCAAACAATCAATAAGCAGTATATACCACTAGGATTCCTTTGGGGTTTCAAGTAGTTACTAGACATCCAAATTGCAACACACCACGTCCGTCTACTCTATTGTTTGCATTTGAAATAAACCTCCTTCGTCGCTCTTAAGGGCAGTGGATATGAAGGGAACTGAAGTAGTACTCTCTGACATGATTTGCTATATTTTTTATTCGGGTAGACAAGAACGGACCCCAACCCAATATTGAGAAGCATGTTGTGTTTACCAGATCTACCAATTCGCCAGGTTACGCTAGCCAAAGTGGTTAGGAGCTCATCGTTCAGCTATTCAACGTACCGGACCTTAGTTAGGAAAGCTACAAATATTCACAATTTGATCAACCTTGCACGGTGATGTAAACTTCCAGCATCTAGGCTACTGTACCCCCAGAACATCCCGTATCTTAAGACAAAGTAACGCTCGTTCCATACATTCGGATGGCTTATGAGTTACACAGATTTGTAATATCAAGTTTCATGTCTATAGCTTGTAGATTAAAACAATCCAGTTAGCGACCTGGGGTGTTGTGGCCTAGTGACGGAAATGAAAGCAACTCCCGAGTGCTATTAGTGGGGCAAGATACTAGATTATTATCCCACTAACCTTTATGGACATCCACATTTGGACCGATAAGTGGTGGTTTGATGAAGTTTTAGATAGGGCCTCGGGTTTGTTTGTTAACCAGCAAAGTCCAAACCGCTCGCTTGTAGCTTCGAATCCCATGGATTAGATGTAACAGCTCCTGAAATAGTTAAACAGACGATACATCCGTACGGCGCTTTTGGAGGTGGTGGATGTATGCCTGGATGTAAGCCACTCGAAATACGTTAACTTCTCTACTACTTAATTAACATAAGTAGCGATCTGCGAAGCGTTTAAAGTTATAATATCGTTGTCGGATCGGCGGGAGGTCTCGCATCGGAGACCTAACCGGCACTCTACAATGTATTAGCGATGAGGCGCACCATAAAGCGATTTTTCACGTAAACAACCTCCGTCACCTCTGTCCTGTCAGCACGTCACTACCTACCGTTGCGCGGTCCTGGTTTCGTGCTGCGTAGCAATCGTGATGACTGCGCGAAACTGAGGCACCTTAATAAAATGAACAATGGAACAATGGTTTATTACGGGTAAAAAAGCATCGCTTAACAAGTCCCGTGGGATGGAACTTTTTGCGAAAATCAATTGCATAATAAAGTGTAAAGGGTTGTGGTGGACTCACCATACACTTACGTGGAATAGCGGAGATGTTCGCGTATTAAACGTATAAATCCATAAATCCATTGGTTAGACGTTTGGCAAGACACTGTTTGATCGCGTTTTGTAGCCCCTGTCTAACAAGTCATAAAATGAAATTGTGAGTGAGACTATGCATCGTCAACAAGTTTTTTTAAATATCGCCAGATTGGGAGCAGAGACGACATAATTAGCGAGGGCATTCCAAAGCTCACACACGCGAAAAGAAATTTCTACGGCATTCAAGCCGGCTATACTGAATCGTCAGTTTCAGAGGGTGATCTTTTAGGTTAGTGTTGTGGTTTAATTCCAGCAGCGGACTGCAAATGTGGTTTGGGTTCTTCAGAATCTGGTAAACCATTATGAGATCCCCCCGCAAAAGCCGATATCGACTGCTGTACATTCTTAGAGATTTCAGTCGAAGCTGATAGGGCAGATGAAAGAGGCCCCTGACGTTCTTGGTTGCCCTTCGTTGAGGAGTCTCGAGTGCAACGTGATCCTGTTTCTGCAACGGCTGCCACGCCTGAATGGTATATTCCACGTGAGGTCGCACGTAGTCGTTAAGCATTTGGAGAAATATTGATGGTTCAAACCGACCGAAGGCTCTGCGAAGAAGGTCGAAGTGTTGATTTCCGGTTCTCGTCATCTTCTCTGCTTGTTTTGAACACCCGAGATCTTCCTGTACCAATACACTCAGGTCACGCTCCTGTGAAGCCTTCTGTAAGGTTTGGTCTCCAATCTTGTGAGCGCTCACCAGCTGGTGACGCAGACGTATCACCTTGCGCTTAGCTTTGTTCAATTGAAGCATGTTCCTCTTTGACCATTCGTATATGCAATCTAGGTCATATTGGAGCAGAGCCTGATCTGGCTTGTCACTAATCGCCCGCCATATCTTGACGTCATCGGCGAAAAGCAGGAAGTTTGAGGAGATGACTCTTGCCAGGTCGTTGATAAACACCAGGAATAAACGCGGTCCCAGCACTGAGCCTTGTGGGACACCACATTCCAACTCAATTGGGTTAGAAAGTGATCCCCTAACACGTACTTGAAGCTTTCGTTGGTAAAGGAAGTTGCCAATCCAACCGAGTACAGGATCTCCGATTCCGTAACTTTGTAGTCTTTGAAGTAGGGTGCGGTGATCAAGGCGGTCGAAAGGTTTGGAGAAGTCCAGATGGATGACTTCGACTCCGACCCCATCATTGGCCACTTCCTTCCAACTACCACGTGCAATCAGTAGGTTGGTGGTGCATGACCGGTGTTGACGGAAGGCATGCTGTTCCGGTACCAAGAGGTTGCATTTTTCCAGGTAGTCCATTAAAGCCTCAGCGACCACTGCTTCCATCGCCTTTGGTGTGATGTGGCTATGCAGCTGTGTGCAATAGTGACGGAAACGGTAGAGAGGTTTTATTTCATCATGTAAAGTTCAAATTTATATGTTTACTGTTCTGTCCTTCATAAGATAGAATGTCGCTTTTCGATTTCGAGTAGAACAATTACGAGTATAAAGTTCCGAAAATATGTTGATGCATCTTGAAGCCAGGTCAGAGTTCTGGTGTTAGAATCAAGCACAGACGCACGGCTCGCACTGTAACACAATAATCGACGCCAGTCGTTGCGCAGCCCACCGAAAAGCAGAAATTGGGCAGGGTTTCGAACAAAATCACAGAGCCATGACGCAATACGTCACTACGCTCTTGCTTTGACTCATTCGATGCAGTTGGGTACACATTGTGTTTCATGCCTACGCAGCTCCGTCCACAGGATAGCGATCACGCGGCCATAAGATACATGTTAACTTCGATCCTGGTGGATGAGCCAGTGGCCATCGGGGAATCTAATATCCATCAACTGGCCGCCCTAGTTTCCAGGTTCCCACCACACCAGCGTACCTTACATTATCGGTCCCCACCACACCGGCAGCGTAAAACAAGAATGACGATAAGTATTATCCTCCTGTTCTACCATTAGATCCCCTGACCCTTACGTGAGCAACGAAAATCCCGGCAGTAGTGTTGTTCTAAAGCTAGAAAATCGTTTTCAGAAATCCTCACGACAGTTTCGGTGACCTCTTTCTCCGTAGTAACACCGATTCACTGTGTTTTCTTTAATGGGCGCCATCTCGGTTATTTAGAGAGAATACCCGCACTAAAGCAGGTGACAGTACCGTCCCATTAGGACGAAACGACCATCTAATGCTTGGCTGGATGTGGGGAAGAGTTGGGGAAGATAGGACTCAACTGCAGGAAATTACCATTAAAGATGACAGTTAAAACTTGAACAAGCTCCTGAGAGGAACTGTCCCAATAAGCGTTAATAGTCAGTGAAAGGGCAAGAGTAAGACACATTCCGCTATATAACCAGTTCATTTCATTGGCAGGATTCGAAAGTGGTCTGCGGTGGACAAATGCACGACTTTTTCGTACTCTGTTCTCTTTTCACTAATAACCCTCTAGAACAAACCTTGTGGGTCCTAGGCAACCTTGTGGACAAAGTGGGTTCTCCGATATCTAACTCAAAACCATGATCCCACTTGCCCGAAAAGCGTCCATTTTAGCTCCGGTGGGATCAGTAGCATCAACTTAAACGCAAATCGATGGGCACTCCACCTGGATCGAGTTGACCTCTTGTGGCACTTAGGAAATGAGCTTTTACAATCTGCACCTGTTCAAAAGGCACGAAGTATGTTGAATGCACCAGACCAATATCAACCCTCAATGAAGTTCACCGTCGGAGTCACATTTACAGGCAGGTTTCACTTCATGGATGCTTCTTTAGAGGGAAGACAAACAACTGGTTCATAAGATGGGTTTAGCACACACCGCGCAAGCCAAGTGGCATCTAGCGTTCAAGAGTTAATGCCCATTTACTTAGAAGCAATTATTGTTTCGAAATTACTTGTTATAAAATCCCCAAATCCATTCGGAAGAAGTCATCACAAGTGTGTTACAGCTTACTGCGCCTACACTATGTGAAAGTGGATACCCTAATAAATTTATCCTTATACTTGGTGAAGGCAACACTGGAAAAGAGAGCGTCCATTGTCCCAAAGAAGATAGTAATTCCACTATGTTTCAAAGGAGCATAAACTGATGAAAGGTTTTGCCACTAGCCAACCTAGCTAGCTGCACTGAGCTGGGCCAGCAAGTTGCTTCATTAATCTAACTTAGCTGGACCTTTCCATCAAGTCATTATGCTATGCATTTACTATTTTAACCGTACCTGCGGTAGCACCTACACCGACCGAACAGAGAAGAGGTTGGCGGCCACTGTCCTCTCTTAACCACATCAATTCGGTCATCAGCCAACTCCGTTTGATGGCAATGTAGTGCTTAGCCGAACCGTTGCAAATAACCGCTAGATGCAGCTAGTTCTTAGCGTCTTGAGCTATTCTTACACATCATAATCTTGTTTACGTTACCGAAACTATATGGACTAGTTATTTTAACTGTCGTCATCAAATTCGAGCAACAAATTTTTATAGACTAACGCGTTTTTATTCTATCTAAAACAGTGCACCGCGTGGTATACATACATAATGATTATGTGCATGCCTGTACACTTATTTCTGATAAATTTGTAAAGTGCTTAAAGGAATGAACGTGTTCCTAAATAACCCGTGACTACTTCACTGCTTTACTTCCCGTAGAGCATGGCACAAACCACCGGTTACATCAATCCAATGGCTGCTTTGGCTCTACAGTTACAACAAGCGAGTCAGTTGGCCACCGCAAGCATTCCGAACAACGCTGCCACTAATTTGGCTCTCATAGCCTCAATGGGGGCCGGTGCTGGTGTCGCTGGACCCCTCACATCGCTGCTTCAAGCTACACGCCCACATCCTCTGGTGAACGCCAACACGAATGCTTCGCTGAACACCGGCTGTCACCCGATGGCCGCAGCCTTGGGAGTGACGGCAACGCAGCACTTGACCAACCTACCTCCTCAAATGGCATCGTTGTCCAGCTCAAATGTGGCATGTTCGAATGAAGGGGCAACCAATGTTTCAGTTAGCGGAATGGATGCCGCCACCATGGCCGCAGCTGCAGCCGCGGTGGCAATGGCAACGGGTGGAACAGGTACTAATTCTTGTAATACCTGTGTCTCGAACGGATTAACTACTCAGGCGATCGGATTGGGCAGTTCTCCTGCAGGGTCACAGGGGTTGACTTTGCATAGTGTTCCCGGTACACATGTGTCAAACGCCACACTGACTGGCCTGATGGCGGCTTCCTTACCCCTGGCTCAAACTGGTGAGTGAGACTACAGCAATTGTTCGCTGCAAGCAATATTCTAGCAGGATGCAAGCTAGTAATCTGTGAAACCCTATGCATCAGCGATTACTATTTTTGTCCGTAATGAGTTTGACCATTGCTATGAGTCCGAACCCCAGGAGCCGTCATTCCGAAGTTATAACTGTTGGTTTCGCTCACATAAACGGATTATGAACCAGATTCTTTGCGACAGCAACTGGATAAAAACTACAACACATTAGCATACAATGAGTTAGGTCCATTGGATATTCTTTTTCTAAAGACCGGCCTAAATTACTTATGCAATCCGAATAATGGTACCTATTACATTTTAAAGGCGTCAGTTGCGTTTCAGAGTAAGGCTACGCATGGAAAAATCGGTGTGCACACATCTCGAAACTAAAATCTTATTTCATCTATGATCCGATTGACAGAAATAACTAAGATTTACTCTATGAGAAATCGCAAGTTACGTTTAGACTATCTTGATTTATTTACAAGAATACATCAAGATGTGCAAGCTGCTTCCCATTTGACATTTTAATCTTAGAGAAAAGATCGGTTTTGGCGGATATTAGAACGTAACATACGAATGAACCAGCGTGGTACTTTCACATCTAAATTCATGCGGACCGAATTGTGTGGAATGTGAAAGTTACCAATGTGCTATCTCAACCTCATTTTCCTGTCGATGTGGTTGGGAATCTTCTTGCATTCAAAGGTGGATAATCTTCGCATAAGGTTTAAAAGTGGGATGTTTATTCGGTCCATGAATGCGGAAGCAAATATTCCATGCCATTCGAAAGCCGTGCAATGTCAACGGGGCTGTGAAGTGTATCACGTATAAAACAATACTAAGGATTTAGTAACTTTGATTGGTGAGCTCTGAGTGGTGCGCAGTTTGATCGAAAATTCAAATAAGTAAATGTTAAATGCTCGTTTTAGACGACGATCAGGTGATTGAAAACATTTTCTGATGGAACGACCACTAATGCTCGAAAAGTGTACAAAAAGAAGTCGAATGTTTGCCATCCACATAATGGATCTCTGTATGTCTATGTTCATTGGAAAACCGAAGCTACGTTACCAAGACATGATCATGGTGAGTTTATCACGAACTAATATCGATGGCAGGAGTTGGGTAACAAACTAAGAGGATCGTTGCCAATGGCTTGTGTATAAAAAGCTATAGTCTCCCTGGTGCATCAGAAAGTCATGCAGCATCAGGAACAGAAACGCCGAGTACAGAAGCGACAGTGTTGATGAAAACTAGCCCATCGACGTCAAGTGCATGGTGCAATACCACAGGCGGTCGCCAGTGCCTGAGCCAAGACGGCTTGGTAGACCACTATAGTGGCCACGAGGAGCCAACAGGTAACAGGTGACGAGTCAGATGAAGACACAAACATCATCAGCGCAGCACTTGGTAAGTACGTTGCTTGCGACTACATTTCTTAACCAGGGCCACTAATCTGGTCGATGTGGCACGTTAACGCTGCAGTTGGACTGTGCATGCTTGCGTGCTGAGATACATGAATTTCAGCTGTTGGTTATTAATTGGTAACCCCACTGTGGCTGTGCCTGATGTTTTATCGAAAAATCGCTCCAGAAGACAGCTGGTCTTTGCTGGCGAAGACGGTGCACTGTCCTCGTGACCGTGTTAGGCTCAAAGAGTCGTTCCACCCAGTGTGAAGCTGACTACGAGCAAGCCACCCACTAGTGTGCCTCTGGTACGCAAGATTCTTCACATAGATAGACAGGAATGCTGCTGCTGTGTATGTTGAAGGATTGGGAGCGGCCCCGTTGATGAAACTTGTCTTGCATTCACATGCCTCCCGGTCTTATTCCTTCAGGTTTACACTAGATATGGGGTGTGCGCATGGAGCTGTGAGTCGTGCAAAACAAACCGCCTATGGTCCATCTGTAGGCGCAAGCGTGCTGAGGCTATCCCCATGGAGGCCGCAGTGACAGGCACATTTGGAATCGGATGCTACCAACTAGCTGTCTTACTTGAATTTCTAAACGTGCCGCTGCATTTGTAAGAGACCAAAACTAGGAGCAGCGAACAACGATCAAGCACAAGTTAAAAAAGTACTTAGCTAGTCCCGTAGGATTGTCGAAGTGCAAACTGCAAAATCAAGAGGTATAAATGTCATCAGTTTTAGTGCTTGTTGACGAATCGTTGCAATTATCTACCGATGGCCAAAGTGTGTGTGTGTGTGTGTTTTAAACGTGCTACTGCATAAGGACTGTGTTAAATAGGAATTAAAAGTCATCGAACAGAAACAGTGTTTTATCTGTCAAAGTTAGCATTTCCTTCGACAGAAATGAAAGTGAGCCTTTGCGGGCCAATCCCCTTGTATTTGTGTGATACATAAATCCAGTAGGAGCAAATTAGAAATGTTCCGGGATGTCACACTTTACGTAACAAACTGCTGGAAGCGAAGAGTGACATTCAATCGCAGGTGAGCGAATGGGATGGTGTTCGTACTATCCCGTTTGGCACACGTAAATTCGACACATGACGCAATTCAATGATAACTGTCTTTTAGCACTGTGCAAATCGAATTACTGCAGTGGAGTACATATAAGACCTAAGTAAAATGTGAAGACAAGTAAACTGTTGCACTTCTTAAAATGCTCCGACAGAATCTTCAGTACAATCCTCAGTTTGTTTAAATAGTCGATTCTGAGGAATTTTATCCACAGCAGCACTTAAGCAAGTAGATATAAATTATCCGGTAAGACAGATTGCTAATTCGTCTCTGGGAATTTCTAGTAGTGAACACTTCTGGCCATAGTTCAGCAAGAATTTAAGACCCCCCTCTTCAAAAACATTGATTAATCCACAAAACTACGAGTAATGACGACCGTCACTATAAACATCCAAACAGCTGCGACGTGTCGAGGCGTATTCTTGACAAACATGTGTGCTTCCAATATGCTTCCAACATGTAGGAGTTAGCCCGGAGACCGCGACCTCTCACTGGACCCCGTTAATTTTGGTAATCGCGTAAGTTTGTAAACTGATTTTTGATTTTAGTGAGTGGTGAATTAATTTTTAATGCACAGAAGGTGACGTCGCATTGCCCTTAGCATGCTACAACGTGGTAGCCAATCACGGTGTAGCCACTTACTTTATTTCTGGGGAATCTTTGCTCTGCAAGAGCGGGAGAAAACTGAGAAATGTTTGGGCAAAGGGCGCACTTAAGTTGTGTTTGACACAACTGCAATAAAAGGGGTGGTGAATTTGGGCTGAAACATTGCGATGTATTTGTGGTTGATGAGCCAGCAAGTAACAGGTGCACACATTGAGGTAGTCCGTGGACTGACATAGCAAACATTTACAAACCCGCAAGAACTCGAACCTATGCATGTGCGTAATGGCAGCGATACAAACGTAATCACTTTTAGTACGTAATAATTGTAGTAGTAGTAGTAGTTGTTGTTGTTGTTGTTATTGTTGTTGTTCATGTTGTTGTTTTTGTTGTTGTTGTTGTTGATGATGTTGTGGTGGTGGCTGTTGTTGTACCACGGAACCATGGTTACAAAGTGAACAGGAACCAGATCAGGTAGTGCAGATGTTGTAATGCATCTTCGAGCCGTTTTTTAAAAACCGGTAGCGTGGGCGCAGAAATGACAAAAGTCGAAAGAGAAAAATAATTCCAGCGACATTCCAGCCGATGGTATTGCGTAGCCAGTTTCAGCTGGTGGTCTCTCAATTTTGTGTTGTGGCTAACTTTCAGGAGATGGCGGCAAGCGTGGTACGTGGGTTGTCCATGATCTGGAATGCCAGAATGAGGTCGCACAGTAGACGGCGATAACTTCCGCTGTACACTACTAAAGATTTCAGTCGCAGATGGTACGGCAGGTGGAGCACTCCATTCACATTTTCGGTTGCCATTGGATGTGCAATATCCAATACGACCACATTTCGTTCCAACCAGGGGTACCACGCCTGAATCCCGTACTCCACATCAGGGCGTCACATATGTATTGAGCCTACGGGGGCTGATGGAACGGTCGAAGAGACCGAATGCCCTCTGTAAGTGACCAACGCGTTGGTTAGCCGTTTTGGACGCCTTCAAGGACTGCGCCGCACAGCCTAGGTTCTCTTGCATCACCACTTCAGGATCGCACTCCTGTGAGGCGGTTTCCAACATGTGGTCTCCTAGCTTATATTCTTAAGTGGGCTTGTGTCGTACATGTACACCCTTGCGCATGTCCGCCTTAAACGGAAGTAAATTAGATGTACTCACGAGTAGGGAATTTTGAGTTGCCTTCGACAATTCAAAGTCAATATCTAAGTCTCTCTGCAACACATCGTGATCGTCCTGACAGTCGATCCTCTGCCATATCTTGATGTCATCGGTGAGAAACAGGAACTTCGACTCGATGACTCGCGCGAGGTTGTTGATTAAGACCAGGAATAGGTGCGGCCGTAACACTGGTCCCTGTGGGATACTGCAGTCCACCTTGATACGAAAGGAAAATGGCCCCTAACCCGTACTTGAAGCTGCCGCTGAAGCAGGAAATTTCCGATCCATCCAAGGACCGGTATGCCAATTCCGTACGATTTCAGCTTTTGAAGAAGGATTCGGTGATCTAATTGGTCGATGATTTTAGAAAAGTCGAGGTAGATGATATCAGTGCTGATCCAACTGTCGGAAATTTCGGTCCAACTGCTACGCAATTAGCAACTTGGTAGTACAGGACCGATGCTGTCGGAATCCGTGTTGTTCCTGGGATATGATGTTAGACCGTTCAAAATAGCCCATTAGAACCTCAGCTATGACTGACTCCATAACCTTTGAGAGTACCGGGAGTAGAATCACTGGGCGATAGTTGACGGGCTCCGAACGGCTACCACCGTAGAAAATTTGGGTGATGATGCCCAGCTTCCACATGTTCGGGACCTGCTGTTCATCCAGGTATCTTTGGAAAAATCGAGCCAATGGCTCCGCTATCCTCACACCTGCCAGCTGAAGTGTTTTTGGGGG